AAAAACAAAAAAACATGTTCCTATGGTTTTTCAAGCGCCCAAGGAGGGGGAAAAACAAAAAACATGTTCCTGTGGTTTTTCAAGCGCCCAAAGAGGGGAAAAAACAAAAAAAAACATGTTCCTATGGTTTTTCAAGCGCCCAAAGAGGGGAAAAAACCAAAAAAACATGTTCCTATGGTTTTTCAAGCGCCCAAGGAGGGGAAAAACAAAAAACATGTTCCTATGGTTTTTCAAGCGCCCAAGGAGGGGAAAAAACAAAAAACATGTTCCTATGGTTTTTCAAGCGCCCAAAGAGGGGAAAAAACAAAAAAACATGTTCCTATGGTTTTTCAAGCGCCCAAAAGAGGAAAAACAAAAAAACATGTTCCTATGGTTTTCAAAGCGCCCAAGGAGGGGAAAAAACAAAACATGTTCTGTGGTTTCAAGCGCCCAAAGGGGAAAAAACAAAAAAAACATGTTCCTATGGTTTTCAGCGCCCAAGAGGGGGAAAAAAACAAAAAAACATGTTCCTGTGGTTTTTCAGCGCCCAAAGAGGAAAAACAAAAAACATGTTCCTATGGTTTTCAAAGCGCCCAAGAGGGAAAAAACAAAAAATACATGTTCCTATGGTTTTCAGCGCCCCAAAGAGGGGAAAAAACCAAAAAAACATGTTCCTGTGGTTTTTCAAGCGCCCAAAGAGGGGAAAAAACAAAAAAAATGTTCCTATGGTTTTTCAAGCGCCCAAAGAGGGGAAAAAACAAAAAACACATGTTCCTATGGTGTTTCAAGCGCCCAAAGAGGGGAAAAAACAAAAAAACATGTTCCTATGGTTTTTCAAGCGCCCAAAGAGGGGAAAAAACAAAAAATACATGTTCCTATGGTTTTTCAAGCGCCCAAAGAGGGGAAAAACAAAAAACATGTTCCTATGGTTTTTCAAGCGCCCAAAGAGGGGAAAAAACAAAAAAAAACATGTTCCTATGGTTTTTCAAGCGCCCAAAGGAAGAAAAACAAAAAAACATGTTCCTATGGTTTTTCAAGCGCCCAAAGAGGGGAAAACACAAAAAACATGTTCCTATGGTTTTTCAAGCGCCCAAAGAGAAAAAAAACACACAAAAAACATGTTCCTATGGTTTTTCAAGCGCCCAAAGAGGGGAAAAAACAAACAAAAACATGTTCCTATGGTTTTTCAAGCGCCCAAAGAGGGGAAAAAACACAAAAAACATGTTCCTATGGTTTGTCAAGCGCCCAAAGAGGGGAAACAACACAAAAAACATGTTCCTATGGTTTTTAAGCGGGGAAAAAACAAAAAAAAACATGTTCCTATGGTTTTTCAAGCGCCCAAAGAGGGGAAAAAACAGAAAAACATGTTCCTATGGTTTTTCAAGCGCCCAAAGAGGGGAAACAACAAAAAACATGTTCCTATGGTTTTTCAAGCGCCCAAAGAGGGGAAAAAACAAAAAACATGTTCCTATGGTTTTTCAAGCGCCCAAAGAGAGAAAAAACAAAAAAAAAACATGTTCCTATGGTTTTTCAAGCGCCCAAAGAGGGGAAAAAACAAAAAAAAACATGTTCCTATGGTTTTTCAAGCGCCCAAGAGGAAAAAACAAAAAAACATATTCCTATGGTTTTCAGCGCCCCCAGGAGGGAGAAAAACAAAAACTGTGTTCCCTATGGTTGTTCAAGTGCCCAAAGAAGGGGAAAAAAACAAAAAAACATGTTCCTATGGTTTTCAAGCGCCCAAAGAGAGAAAAACAAAAAAAAACATGTTCCTATGGTTTTTCAAGCGCCCAAAGAGGGGAAAAAACAAAAAAACATGTTCCTATGGTTTTTCAAGCGCCCAAGGAGGGGAAGAAAAACAAAAAACATGTTCCTATGGTTGTTCAAGTGCCCAAAGAGGGGAAAAAACAAAAAAACATGTTCCTATGGTTTTTCAAGCGCCCAAAGAGAGAAAAAACAAAAAAAACATGTTCCTATGGTTTTTCAAGCGCCCAAAGAGGGGAAAAAACAAAAAACATGTTCCTATGGTTTTTCAAGCGCCCAAAGAGGGGAAAAAACAAAAAAAACATGTTCCTATGGTTTTTCAAGCGCCCAAAGAGGGGAAAAAACAAAAAAAAACATGTTCCTATGGTTTTTCAAGCGCCCAAAGAGGGGAAAAAACAAAAAAACATGTTCCTATGGTTTTTCAAGCGCCCAAGGAGGGGAAGAAAAACAAAAAACATGTTCCTATGGTTGTTCAAGTGCCCAAAGAGGGGAAAAAACAAAAAAACATGTTCCTATGGTTTTTCAAGCGCCCAAAGAGAGAAAAAACAAAAAAAACATGTTCCTATGGTTTTTCAAGCGCCCAAAGAGGGGAAAAAACAAAAAACATGTTCCTATGGTTTTTCAAACGCCCAAAGAGGGAAAAAACAAAAAACATGTTCTATGGTTTTCAAGCGCCCAAAGAGGGGAAAAAACAAAAAATACATGTTCCTATGGTTTTTCAAGCGCCCAAAGAGGGGAAAAAACAAAAAAAACATGTTCCTATGGTTTTTCAAGCGCCCAAAGAGGGGAAAAAACAAAAAAAAACATGTTCCTATGGTTTTTCAAGCGCCCAAAGGAAGAAAAACAAAAAAACATGTTCCTATGGTTTTTCAAGCGCCCAAAGAGGGGAAAAACAAAAAAACATGTTCCTATGGTTGTTCAAGCGCCCAAAGAGGGGAAAAAACAAAAAAACATGTTCCTATGGTTTTTCAAGCGCCCAAAGAGGGGAAAAAACAAAAAAACATGTTCCTATGGTTCTTCAAGCGCCCAAAGAGGGGGAAAAACAAAAAAACATGTTCCTATGGTTTTTCAAGCGCCCAAAGAGGGGAAAAAACACAAAAAACATGTTCCTCTGGTTTTTCAAGCGCCCAAAGAGGGGAAAAACACAAAAAACATGTTCCTATGGTTTTTCAAGCGCCCAAAGAGGGGAAAAAACAAAAAACATGTTCCTATGGTTTTTCAATCGCCCAAAGAGGGGAAAAAACAAAAAAAACAACATGTTCCTATGGTTTTTCAAGCGCCCAAGGAGAAAAACAAAGCATATATGGTTTTCAAGCGCCCAAAGGAAAACAAAAAAACATGTTCCTATGGTTTTTCAAGCGCCCAAAGAGGGAAAAAACAAAAACAAACATGTTCCTATGGTTTTCAAGCGCCCAAGAGGGGAAAAAACAAAAAACATGTTCCTATGGTTTTCAAGCGCCCAAAGAGGGAAAAAAACAAAAAAAAACATGTTTCCTATGGTTTTCAAAGCGCCCAAGAGGGAAAAACAAAAAAAACATGTTCCTATGGTTTTCAAAGCGCCCAAAGAGAAAAAACAAAAAAAAACATGTTCCTATGGTTTTTCAAGCGCGAAAAAACAAAAAAACATGTTCCTATGGTTTTCAAGCGCCCAAAGAGGGAAAAAAACAAAAAAACATGTTCCTATGGTTTTTCAAGCGCACAAAGAGGGGAAAAAAACAAAAAACATGTTCCTATGGTTGTTCAAGCGCCCAAAGAGGGGAAAAAACAAAAAAAACATGTTCCTATGGTTTTTCAAGCGCCCAAAGAGGGGAAAAAACAAAAAAACATGTTCCTATGGTTTTTCAAGCGCCCAAAGAGGGGGAAAAACAAAAAAAACATGTTCCTATGGTTTTTCAAGCGCCCAAAGAGGGGAAAAAACAAAAAACATGTTCCTGCCCAAAGAGGGGAAAAAACACAAAAAACATGTTCCTATGGTTTTTCAAGCGCCCAAAGAGGGGAAAAACAAAAAAACATGTTCCTATGGTTTTTCAAGCGCCCAAAGAGGGGAAAAAACAAAAAAAACAACATGTTCCTATGGTTTTTCAAGCGCCCAAGGAGGGGAAAAACAAAAAACATGTTCCTATGGTTTTTCAAGCGCCCAAAGAGGGGAAAAAACAAAAAAACATGTTCCTATGGTTTTTCAAGCGCCCAAAGAGGGGAAAAACAAAAAAAACATGTTCCTATGGTTTTTCAAGCGCCCAAAGAGGGGAAAAAACAAAAAAACATGTTCCTATGGTGTTTCAAGCGCCCAAAGAGGGGAAAAAACAAAAAAAACATGTTCCTATGGTTTTTCAAGCGCCCAAAGAGGGGAAAAAACAAAAAACATGTTCCTATGGTTTTCAAGCGCCCAGAGGGGAAAAACAAAAAAAACATGTTCCTATGGTTTTTCAAGCGCCAAAAGAGGGGAACAAAAAAACATGTTCATGGCTTTTCAACCTCCTATGGTTTTCAAGCGCCCAAAGAGGGGAAAAAACAAAAACACATGTTCCTATGGTTTTTCAAGCGCCCAAAGAGAGAAAAAACAAAAAAACATGTTCCTATGGTTTTTCAAGCGCCCCAAAGGGGAAAAAACAAAAAAAAACATGTTCCTATGGTTTTTCAAGCGCCCAAAGAGGGGAAAAAACAAAAAAACATGTTCCTATGGTTTTTCAAGCGCCCAAGGAGGGGAAAAACAAAAAAAATGGGTTTTTCAAGCGCCCAAAAAAAACATGTTCCTATGGTTTTTCAAGCGCCCAAAGAGGGAAAAAACCAAAAAAACATGTTCCTGTGGTTTTTCAAGCGCCCAAAGAGGGGAAAAAACAAAAAAAAACATGTTCCTATGGTTTTTCAAGCGCCCAAAGAGGGGAAAAAACCAAAAAAACATGTTCCTATGGTTTTTCAAGCGCCCAAGGAGGGGAAAAACAAAAAACATGTTCCTATGGTTTTTCAAGCGCCCAAGGAGGGGAAAAAACAAAAAACATGTTCCTATGGTTTTTCAAGCGCCCAAAGAGGGGAAAAAACAAAAAAACATGTTCCTATGGTTTTTCAAGCGCCCAAAGAGGGGAAAAAACAAAAAAACATGTTCCTATGGTTTTTCAAGCGCCCAAGGAGGGGAAAAAACAAAAAACATGTTCCTATGGTTTTTCAAGCGCCCAAGGAGGGGAAAAACAAAAAAAACATGTTCCTATGGTTTTTCAAGCGCCCAAAGAGGGGAAAAAACAAAAAAACATATTAATGGACGTTTAGCACCAAGTGCCCCCAATTCGACTCACCGCAAAGCCCGCGGGCCTCAGATATTCTCTGACCTCCTCGTCCGAGCGCAGCGCGTAGCGCTGGTTCCGGATGCTGCCCCGCTCTTTGCCGTCCACCACGTACGGGGGCGTGGGGATCAGAAACCACATCCTGACAAAGGGCAGTGGTTGACCCAATGTGGTGGAGGGGTTGAGAGAAACATTTACCTCACGCATATCTCTATATATATATATATGTATATATATATATATACATATGTGCGTGTATGCTTAATAAGCAGATTATTGACATAAACGTGTTCTTGTGGGATGGCCCATGCAACTGGGGCCCTGCATAACCCAACTGCAGAAGAGTTCGGGGTATGTGTAAGCGGGACCCAAGGTTTCGTTCACCCCGGATCCAAGTGGAACCTTGCGGATTCTTGGGAAATTTGAGGTCTGTCGAATCGCAACATTCTAGGCCACTTGCCTCCCCATTCAGTCATCCTTCTCTTCACGAAACAAGCCTTCGAGGGCATCTCGAAAATGAGTAATTAGCTTCTGAGGGAGATTCGACAACCACCCCACCCACCTCACCCACCTCACCCACCCCACCCACCCCACCCACCCCACCCACCCCACCCACCCCACCCACCCCACCCACCCCACCCACCCCGCCCAAGCCTTAGAAGAACAAACTATGAGTCTGTCTTTTGTTGGTACCTTTCTTTCTGGGGGCTGCAATGGGAAATTGAAAGGATCTCCCCGTTTCAGGGGCTCCCCTTCGAGAACCGATTTAACCCACCTATAAGCCTCATAAGTAGAGTTAACTCTGTTGCTGGTGGGTTGTACATTATTTGTATATATATATATATACATATACATCTATTATATATATATATATATATCTGCCGTTTTCCAGGGACACTGGTATTTGCGGTGTTTGCTGCCTTTTTTGCGTTTTTTTCTTTTTTTTCTAAGGAGATTCTGGAAGCTTTTGGCACGATTCAAATGTCAATCGGTTTCAATCGAGGTCCAGATTTTAAATTTGAATCTCCTTTAATCTCGCTATATCTAGGCCCAGATGCAGGATTCAAGATTCAAGATTCCAGGCCAAACTTTTGCAGGGCATCTTGAATTCACGCCTAGATGTAAACTTCAATATCCTTCAATCTTAAATCTAGGCCTGGATTTTCCAGGGAATCTTGAATCTTGAATACAAGCTCAGATTTCAATGTCAATCTCTTTCGATCCTGTTCAATCTTTTTCAATCTAGGCCCAGATTCAGGATTACTTCAGTACAGGCCAAACTTTCCCACGGAATCTTGAATCTTGAATCCAGGCCCGATTTAAAGTTAACTCGGTTTCAGTCGGCTTCAATCGAGGCCCAGATTCAACATTGCATGGAAAGCTTTCTAGGGGATTTTGAATCTTGAATCCAGGCCCGTTTAAAATTTAAAAAACATCGGTTTCAGTCGGTTTCAATCCAGGCCCAGATTCAAGATTGCAGGAAAAACTTGTCTAGGGGATCTTGAATCTTGGATCCAGGCCCTTTCCCTCGCTATTCCCTACCATTTCCTTCTCCCATAATGTTCCCCACGTCTTCTTTCAGATTTCCACTTGAATTCTCCTAGTATTATTCATTTTAGTTCCCCCTAGTATTCCCTTGATATTCCCCTAGTATTCCCCTTAGTATTCCTCTAATATTTATCTATTCCTTTAGCATTGTCTTACCCCATAATTTGCTCAGTAATTATTAGTCTTGGTATACCCCCAATTTACTTCTTAGTATTTCCCGAGTGTTCCCTTGATATTCCCCTAGAATTCCCCCTTCATATTCCTAGTATTCCCCTATTCCTATAGCATTCTGTTACCCCTATGCTGCCCTAGTGATTCTTAGCATTTTCTTGGTATACCTCCAGTAGTCTCCCGGTATTCCCCTAGTCTCGGTATCAGTATAGTATTCTGTTTGTATCCCCTAGTATTGCTTGAGAATTCCCCTATTATTCCCTTAATGCTCCCTCCTTTAGCATTGTCTTGCCCCATATTGCCCAAGTAATTCCTATTGATTTCTTGGTATACCCCCAGTATTCCCTAGTATTCTCCTAGCATTCACCTTTGTATTCCCTCGAGTATTTCCGTATTATCCCCTCAAAGTTTCCCTGGTATTGCTTTACTATTCTCTCGGTATTCTCTTAGTATTCAGTTAGTATGCCCTTGTTATTCCAGTGGAATTCCACTAATATTCCTGTAATACTCCCGAGAGGATAACAGGGGAATACTAGTACAACACTAAGGGTGAGCACAAGCAGAATACTGGGGCCACCAGAAAACTACTAGGGAAACGCTAGGCGAAGTGTGCCACTACTATTCCCTGGGAGTCCCCCTCGTATTCCTTTAATGCTCCTGAGAGGATAAAAGGGAAATACTATCAGAATAGCACTACAAGAATACAAGGGAATTGCAAGGGAAATGCTAGGGGAAGTTTACCCTTGCTATTCCCTGAGAACTCTCATTACTCCCTTAACATTCCACAAAGGATATCCAATGGGAGAATACTGGGGAACTACTAGGGAAATGCTAGGGGAACAGCGAGGAAACAAATCAAAGAGGAAGACTGAGAGAAAAGACCAACAACCAACAAAAACATCAATAAATCAAATATTTAGAGCTGAAAGGTGATAGTAGAGGAATACTGGGGGAATACCGGGAGAATGCTGGGGGTATACTAATTAAAAAAAAAGAGAGACTTACTAGGGCAATATAGCGGTGAGACAATGCTGAAGGTATAGGGGAGTACTGAACAGGAATACTAAGGGGAATACTACGGAAATATCAAGACATAACTGGGAAGTGCTTGAATTTGAGGGAGTACTAGGGGAACAGTGATGCAATACTAGAAGGGGACAGTGAGAAGGTTAGGGAACACCAAAACATAACAAAATCAAGGATTCAGAACTGTGAGGGGCACTGGAGAGGCAAGAAAATGGTAGGTTTGCTGGGGGGGTGGTTGCACATATATATATATATATGCTTTAATGTGTACATATACCCTTCCTCCCACTAACATGGTACCTGACAGAATGTCCCTTGAAGAGGAAACTTATCTTCCAGGTACCCTCCACACATGCTATGTTAGTGGGAGGAAGGGTCATGTATCTATGTGTATATATATATATACATTTATACATACATATATATATATATATTATATTATACACATGTGTTTTTCTCAAGGTGTCAACCAACACCAGCAGGTTTAACAAACGGACTATTGAGACGAGGCGCCAGCAGCTCTCCTTCTGTCCGTTGCCGATCTCCCGCAAGGCCCTCGCGGCTCGCGGCTCGCGGCGTGCGCCCCGTCACTGAAGCCCCCGTTTTGGTTGGCATTCTTCGGGTCAAGGTACCTGGACCCTGAAATTCCCTCGGTTGCTTTCTGCTCCCCTGCCAAAAGTTCAACTTTTAGTGGTTTAATGAATGGAAAACCCATTAGTTGGCAAAAAGTTAAAGTCCTAGCATCCAAGCAAAATGCACCAAAGTTCCCACCTCCCTTATCAACCTCCAACTGAACAATTTGTTATTGCAACCCTAAATAATGGTTGGTGAGTCCCCATGTTTCTATGGTTAGTTTGAGGGTCCAGGTACTCGCTTCCGATTGAGTGGATGGACCAAAAGAAGTCCTGGAACTTTGTATTGACCACAATGGTGAGGACACCAACAGGAAGCCGTTGCCGCTTGAGGAAAGGACCGATTCCGATTTTGAGAAACACCTCATTCCAAATGGAGAGGTTGCGGAAACTCAGTCTTGAGGTTCTAAAGAAGTGCTGTTCAGGTTCCATCTGGAAGCCTTTTTTGTTGTCCGTTGTACGCCCCTCTCGAGCCAGAGAGGGGAATTATGCCTAGAAACCTTCAAACTGCTGCTGCACTCTTAGGGAAGTGTCTTGTTGCGTGCTTCCCTTCCATGTTCAGGGTATGCCCCCTCTCGTCATTGGTCCACAAAGCCAAATGGAGTTCAGCAATGGTACCTAGAAAACCATCCCCTGGCAAATGGTCATTCTTACACGGATTCGCCTTGGGCGCAACAATTCGTGTGGGTAGCAAAGGCTCGGGCAGCGACCACAACGTCACAAGAAAACCACGCCAGCCGGAAGATTGGGACTGCTCGAAACAAACGCGGCCTTCATTGCTGTTCTTTTGCTTTAAAGAGCAGAAGGGACCAAATACCCGAACTGGGGGGGGGAAAACTACTGAAATCTCAAACCATCTACTGACCATCACTAGCCAAGTTCAAATGGATCCCTTCGGCCTTTTCAATTGCACCGACCCAGGAGTTTGCCGACATTCCACGTTGCGCCAACCTACTGACCCTGAACCAGTCTCGCAGGCGCCGTTCCCCAAAAACCCCCAGCCCATCAGTGGCACAGGTTTCAGTCCATGCTTCCATTTACCAGTGTTCCACCTTGGGGTTACCCTATTTTTGACAACCACAGCCATGCATCGGGGGTCAACGGAGGAGCCCCATAATACAACGGCCCACAAACAATTGTTTGGGGTGAATCCTGGCATGGTGAATCCTGGCAACTTTGACCACCACAGCCACATTGGACATGGCTGTGGATCAAAATAAGACCTCCAGGGGACCGCAGGTTTGAGTCCACGTTTCCGTTTGCCAGGGTTCCATTTTGGGTACCTATTTCTAACCCACGGCCACATAGGCCTGGAGTACACCGTTTTCTGCGGCACGCTGAAGCGCCGCAGCGGGTGGCTGTCCAGCTCGGAGCTACTGCGCCGCGTGCGCCGGGGCTGACGCTCGTCCCCCTCAGCATTCGCGCAAGACACACATGGGTGGCTTGTTTTTTTTGTTGGGGGGAACCCCTCTCTTTGGTCTTAAAAGGAAACCAGAGGGCAAACCACCTTGTATGGGGGTCCCCGAACAGAAGACACACCGACATGTACTTGTGGGGATTTTATTTCTGTCCACCCTGATCATTTTATCCGTTTGACATATTCAGAGCACTGGGCAGAAATCACATTGCGCCAGAAGCCATTGCAATGCTTTCTGAATTAACTGCTTTGATCGCCACCTCGGTTTGGTGATATCCCGGATCAACTGCAAACCCGGGCTAGGAGACTGACTAATCCATCTATGACCAACCATATGCTTCCATTTGCTTAAGCCCCCTGGAAAACAAACAACAAATCCGCCGACCCCTTTCTCCAAAGGGGAGGCGCATGGGAAGGGGGGGTCTTCTGTTTATATACGCTTCAAGTGTGCCGTTAGACCAAGTGGAGCCATGGATGATGCTGAATGATAATCCTGATGATAATCATCACTACGCATCGCCAGCATCACCAGCATTTCATAACAATCATGACTACGCATTAGAGGATGCGTAGTCATGATTGTTGCCATGATAACTGATGCTGGGGATGCGTAGTGATGATTATGATCAGGACGTTGTAGTCATCAGCAGGATGTTGTCACGGAAAGCTGGTGATGCTGAGGATACGTAGTGATGATTATCACATGTATTTTTCAAGTGTGCCGTTAGACCTGATAGGAGATGCAGGGGATGCGTAGTCATGATTGTCATAATAACTCCTGGTGATGCCGGGAGTGCATAGTTCATCATCATCATCATCACCATCTGATTGCATCCCAAGGTGTTCCTAACGGCTTACTTCTCGCGAAGACGAAGCGATGACACAAAGTCCACGCTTTGCATCCACAGCAATACAACAAAGTCTTGCAACAAACAAACAAAGGTGCCCCCAACAAGGTTTTCCTGCCCGAGTTTCTTCACACCGGGGGCACTTCTTGTAAAATCCAACAAGGTGCTCATTTTCATGCGAATCAACTCTGCAGTAGCTTGTTTGAGATGCAGCGAATGCGTCGTCATAATTATCATAACAACTGCTGGTGATGCTAAAAAAGCAAAGTAACAATTATCATCATAACTGCTGGCGGTAATGCGAATGCATAGTAATAATTATCAGCATCCCTAATGTTGGGTAATAATTTGCATCATCAAAAGCATCATCATGATTGTGGTGCTCTTCTGTTTCATATTTGCTTTGAGTGTGCCGTTAAACCCGACAACAAATGCGTAGTCATAATTGTCATAACAATGTCCCCTGTCAGCAAGCCGGGGCCGGCGGCACAGGGCGGCAGCCCTTAAAATTTCCAGTTGTGATAGATTCCCTTTGAAACCAACAGCAAAAACACATTCTTAAACAAATGGAAGTACGTCTCCTGGTAAATTCCTTAAAGTGAACATTTGAGAGCTTCATGAAGTTACTGGGGGGTGGCTTCCTCTTCAACAACTCAGAGGAAAGCGGATGAAACTCACTTGAGCATGGCCTATTCGCAAGACGTCTAACACTCGAATTGGCCCATGACACACACACACACACCCCTGCAGGAGTATTGGACCCCAAATTAGTAGGGCTTGCTGTTCTGACGGATGGCCGTTTGATGGTTAAACGAATCAAGGGAATGCTTCTGACGAAAACAGGCCAGAAAGCAAGCTCGGCGTCTCTTTTGGGGGCTTAGCAAACAATTTTGGATGGGCCCTTATTTTTAGACATACCCACACATTTCTGCTCGTGAAGGCCTTCTCTTGCGGACACCTGTTGACTGTCAACGATCAAAAGCACGGACCTAAAAACAAGCTGATTAGAATGGAGTCCAAACACCGGGGTCCTTCTCCAAAAAGTAGACCTGGCGTTTTCCTGAACCCTCCACCCGTAAAAAACAAGAAATCATCAACCATTTTGGGTTGCAATACACCATCTTTGAGGTGGGATTTCGGGTCCTTTTGTTTCGCATTCCGTGTGCCTAGAGTCTCCATGACCCTTCAAAATTGGGTCCATGACCCCTTAATTTTGGGTAATGACCCCCATGTTTTAGGGTCATGGAGACCCCAATTGAAAGCTAGGACGTCCTCCCACGACGCAAACCGAGGGGCGAGGGAGCGAGTGCTGGTGGGGCTCAAGAGCCGCGGCGACTCGGGCCCCTAACGTAGCGTGAGGTTTCAGGGTTGAATGTATACGTCCATATATGCACTGGGGAGGGATACCATATGGTAATGAATTTTAATCAGGGACCCTTTGGTGGACATCATTTAGATGGGGATTTATGTCCACCAAGCCACTTTTCAGAGGGTTCCCATTAAAATTCATAGCCATATATGCACAGGTCTGGGGAGGGATACCATTGGCCGGGGGGTGGGGGGTAGAAGATTAGTGACCGCCTTAGTCGAACGCTTGGAGAGCGGCTATTGGTCTGGAGGCAAAAAGGGAAAGGCATTCTTGGGCTCAAAATCTGATTCGAAGGCTTTCGGGTGGGGTCAAAATCTGCTCGCAAACCGCACAGCATCTGTGCAGTGTGTTGTCTGCATTTCGAGGCCTTGGGGCCAGTCGGTTTCGGCTGACTGTTTCATTTGGCTCTTTGAGTGGGCTCTAAGATAGCCTACAGTCAATTGGGGAATCTGCAAAGTTGCAGGTTCCTCGAATTATTCTGTGGTAGACATCCCCGGCTGAAGCCATTTTAGAGGGTGTTATGAATGGTGCAGCATGGTAGGGGGCTCTCTTGGGTCTGAAACGTGCTTCTGCTTCTGCAATCCAATGGAGCAACGGATCTTACTATCAAATTTCCGATGGTGGCCATCGGAGTTGCTTCCAACATAATAACATAAACCACTCCAGCATCAATATGTTTTGCAAGTCATGTTGATCTTAAGTTATCTCCGACACATGCTTTGTAATTCTGTGCCTGCCAAAAACCGAGACGGTACCCAAGATTTGACCAAATGTCTGGTTAGAGCTTGCTGGTACAGGCTCATATCCAGTGTCGAATAGGCACAGTCTCGCAAATGTCTGGATTGCCCCCAAGTGGCCTCGGTCCCCCTTCAAGACTGGGCGCCGAACCCCCACCCCACCCCCAGCCCGGTGCACTGCAATTCGGGGAACCTGCCATAAGGGACGTGAACAAACAGGTGGCAAAGTGGGGTTGGGAGAACATAATCCGCGCCCTTGTGGCAATGAGAATCGCTCTTCTCGAACATCCAATTTCTATGGCTGGTCATAGCACCTTGCTTAGCATTCCTACAAATTCCAAAATCGCTGCCTACAAAAGGATTGATGACCAGCCCGAACCACTCCAAGCACGCTTTATGGAGGCCAGAGCAAAACCGTGAGAGTGAAGTGGTGTTCTGATATAGACATATCTGCCTAATGCAAATGCTTGAAATAACGGTTGTCATGTTATAGATCCGCAAAGTGGTCTTCCAGCGGTTCCCAAACCCAAAATACCGAATTTTTATTTCGGGTCATGGAGACTCCAGGAGTGAGCTTGTTTTACCCAGTGACTTGCCCAAAGGCTTACTCAAACTTCGGATGGATCCCGCCTGCGATTCGGCTGCTCGGCACAAAAGCGTCTGGCCAGCTTTCGCCCAGAGTGGGGGGTGCAGCCCCCTTTTCTGACAGCTGACTGGCCCTTGAGTGTAATGTTCGTCTAAATTCGTAAGTTGTTGGTAACCTGGGTCAGAATCCACTTGCGAGTCCCAGGTGAAATGGAGTTAACCTTGCTACGAGCATGGCCGACCATTTCTGTGAGGGGCACCTTCCTTTTTGCTTCAAGGCCTCCCTTGTGACGAACTTGGCACGGAAATTGCCGACCCTCTGGCAAGGTGTTTAAGGGATGATGAAAGGAAAGCAAAAGGGAAAGTTGAAGGAGGCGAAACCAAACCAACGTTCCACACGCGGAACCCCGAAACCAAAATCAAACGGACACCATCCAGCAGACCGCTTCATGGGCAGTACTGTAGGCGGGATTTGGGACAGGGGCCAAGCCAATGTAGCCACAAACCATGCCTTCGAAATTATGTTATTAAGATGTCTGATGACTTGGCCTTGCAAACATCTCGGTACGTGTTGTCGCAGTGCCACGCTGAACTTCATGTTGCATGCAAAATTGATTTGCTACGCATTTGTTGTGCAGTTTATTGTTTGCATACTATGTTGCAAGATGTTGTGAGCAAACTACATATAGGGCTGATTCTATTGAGGCTGTTTGTTTGCCGCAGGAACAAAGCTAGCTTACGTGAGTTGCGGCGTAGGTTACGTGAAAATCTGAGACGTCGGATCTAAGGCCCACATGAAGATGAGCCCTTTTGGTTTCCAATCGGATTATGCTATTTGGTAGGTTTCTCAGAGTTACCTTTGTCGGATTTTGTTAACTGGTAGGTTTCTCAGAGTTGCCTTTGTTACTTGAACCCAATGGCTGTGGGTTTTTCTTTTTTCACCGGCTGATTGGCAGGGGTTGGGCGATTCGATCCTCGTCTGTGAACCAAATCCAAGCAACACAATTGAAGGGGTGCCTGACAGGTTCTGCAAAAGCAGACGGCAGTAAATGTTTAGAACGAACCTAAATCCAACGGAGTCAAGCGCTGGTCCTCAAAATATGCGGACCCACAAATGGCTACATCTTGACATATATATATATATATATATATATGTATAAGGCTAATATCTTGAGACACATCACGGTCCAAAGAAAGGTTCAGAACGGCTCTTCTACGTCCGGGCGCTGGCCTCGGGAACGGTTCAGAAAGGTTCCGTGGCTAGGAAAGGCTTGGAACGGTTCAGAACGGTTCAGAGCGGCTCAGAACGGTTCTGAACCAAGATGCGTTTATGCACACCCGTGACTTGCCACGGTTCGGAACAGTTCAGGTTGTAGCGGGTTTGCTTTGCAGGAACGGTTCAGAACGGTTCAGCTGTTTGAATGTTTGGGTGTGCTTCTGATTGTAATGAGTTGTCTCCACCGATCATCCTGGAGGCAACTCACAAACACAAACGCTACTGCGAGATTTCTGGCATGTCATGCTTAGTATGCTGGAACATGTTGCAAATATAGTTTTTTACAAGACTTCGTAGCGGATGTGGCGGTAGCGCCTGTCGGAAACCTCAAAGTCACAAATGCGAGCGCAAATGGTGATTTCCTGCAGGATTC